AGGCATGAAATTTGATCTGTGTTTAAAAGGATGTTTAGGAAGCAAACGTACTGCAAGTTATGACATTAAAGTGCACGTGACGATGACCTTAAAATGTTCCCAGATAAATTTCAGTAAAGTCGCTAAGTTTGGTGGTCATAGCTTGGGAGGTTTTGAAGTCTAAACTTTTTAGTGAGGTGCATGCAATGGGGCATCAAAAATTGCCTCTCGATCTAAGCAGAGTTAAATCTACGAAGAAATTCAGCCTTAGATGATCTTCATTCAAATGTATTCAAACGCTGGAAAGAGACAGTGAGCGCAGTATTCTGTATTTTGTTTATTTTATTATTATTTCAATCTGCATGCCGAAAAATCATCAAAACCCTTGTTGATGACCACGGTTCCATATATCAAGATCATTTACGAACAACCTCCTTTCGCTTTTTTATTCTAGCGGCCGATAAAGTTGATGCGAATGATAATAGGTAAATCAGTGCCCCCTATTGATTTTAAACAATACTCTAATTCGTCATAGAAATTAGACCCTATTTCATAAAAAGCATCCGGTAATTAGCGCGGTCGATATGATCAAGCATTCAAGAAATGACTTTTTTTTTTCAAGACTGGTATATTTTGCAGCAGATAAAACACCTCAAATTGCAAGAATGAATTTCGTGATTTACGTGAGACTTTTACAAAGGCGGGATTACATACTCTGTAATTTGCCGTTATTTTGTCATGGATTGAAGCCGCAAAGTAAACAATTTTATACCGTGTTCCACTAAAAAAGCTTAAAACTATGTTAAGCTTTGACAGGAATGCGGCAGTACTCTGGAAAAGAATATTTATGTTCCAAAATTGTCGAAATAAACACCTATTTAACTGTTTTCTGTGCCTTTTTTTTCTTCGATTTGCTTTTCGTGACATATGGTGTCGATTCTCTTATAAATTAAAAGCACTGTCCAAATGGAAAAAAAGTCAATTTCTTTTACAAAGTAAACAATTTTATACCGTGTTCCACTAAACAAGCTTAAAACTATGTTAAGCTTTGACAGGAATGCGGCAGTACTCTGGAAAAGAATATTTATGTTCCAAAATTGCCGAAATAAACACCTATTCAACTGTTTTCTGTGCCTTTTTTTTTTCTTCGATTTGCTTTTCGTGACATATGGTGTCGATTCTCTTATAAATTAAAAGCACTGTTCCATGGAAAAAAAGTCAATTTCTTTTACATGCTAATGCATCCCTTTCAAAATTTTAATTGTGTATGTGCCCCTACAAGTTACATAACGTTGTCGATTGTATAAATCATTGTTACGGTTAATGCTTGAACAGATGATCAAAGTTACGTTTGTCAAGCCCAGCGAGTGTTTTATCTAAAACAAACTGAAACAGAAGATTTAACTAACGGATGTAAAGAAATGTTCTTGATATTCATCTTTGTGTGTAGTACTCTGCCATCTATCAGTGCTGTGACTCGTGAGTACTATATAGCAGCAGTGATCAGAGAGTGGAACTATGCACCCAGCGGACAAAACCAAATTAAAGGAGTAGCTCTCGAAGACGACAGGTACGCTAAGAGTTCATTTTATTAGATATTATTACTCAGTCATAAGCCTGTAGTGAGAGCAAATCCAAAATGCTACTAAAATCTTTTGTTTTTCGGATACTACTAAACAAAATAAAATTGCGGCAACTACTTCATAGTGAGTCTCTGCTGTTGTCGTTGTCTTCTGCTTCGTTCACTTCTATCTTGCATGCGCTCTGACTTCTTTTCACTGATCTTAAGGGTCAGGATCCAAGCTGTGGTTGCTCAGGGAATCAAGATATATATAAATTTTTTAATTCCGAGGTTCTTCCTCAAATAACATTTAAAAAAAAAAGGAATCTCCTACCACCAGGGTATGTATAAGAGACGAGGAATTGTATGCACTTCCTTAAGTTTGGTTCCGCAAACTTCATAGTATCGTCAAGCCAAAATCAACAGAATTAAGCAGGGTGTCAGAGGCTCAACACTTGGTTTAACTTAATTAGTCGTTTTGGACCAACTGCAAAACTGAGACTGAGCATATCATAGCTCTTTGCGCGAACATCTTATCACAATCATGCTTTCACGGTTCGGCACAAATCAAGCACAATGTTTTCATCAATTCGCACAATTGTTTAGGCCAACTTATTTTTAGCACATTTCAAGCACCACGAAGCTTTTTTATCCTTCAAACGTTTCAGAATAGTTGATTCTCTACTAAAGTTAAGAATTAATTTCATGAGTCAGTAGTTCGATCGGCTCGACATTATTCGGAACTCATTACCTTGGTTACAAGCGCAAGTAGACAATTTTTTTCGCTTCTTGGTTATCATTCAAGGAAAAATGCAAACGACAAAATTTCCAAGTTTAAGCAGTCCAATGACTTTAATACAGCTGATATAAAGAGATAGGCGAGGGGAAACGTTCAGATTTATATACCGCGGGAAAGGGTATGATTTTCGGGCGATTAGGGCTTTAACCCTAATCAGACCGGGGGGGAACTTTTGAGGCCCCTCCCCCCTCCCTAGCTAAAAAGTTGAATAACTTCAAAAAAGTTTAAACTATGGCTACCAAACTTATCTCATTTTCCTAAATTAAAAATTTATCTGGGAACATTTTAAAGTCATCGTGACGTATACGTCAACATAACTGTTACAATGGCAGGCAAGTTTTGACAGCCATATTTTCAAAATTTGCATTTTTTCTATCAAAAAGGTTTTAGTTATATTTTAAATTATTGAATTATCATATTACGCTTAATTTAACATTATTTTGTCAAATCTGTTAAAACTGTTAATAAAATACAGCCGTTTTAGTGAATGATCTGAAAAAAAAAAAATTTAATAAGACCCAATGGCAGATGCTAAGTTTTCAATTTTCAACAATTTTCATTTCTTCCGAAATTGCATAACTTGCAAATTATTTTGCTTCCTAAGTATTCTTTTATACGCAGATCAAATTCTCTATTCACATTACCTCGATTAATAGGGGTTTTATGTAAAATAGAACACATTTACTGATTAATTCAAAAGGGCCGATCCAAGATGGTGGGTGGCTCCAGTTCTATTTTTAGTAACAAATTACGTCTTTATGACATTACTGTTATTGTTAAAGATGAGCTTATTATGGGAAATTAACGATGCATGTTGAAAAAGCCAAAAAATTAACAAAATTAACCCGAATTTTCCAAACGTGATAGGTTTACATACATCAAATAAACGCGAAAGTTTCGAAAACACCGTGCGCCTTACTTTTTTATTTTACGCGAATAGGCCATTTGCACGATGGCGTCATTTTATTACTACGACCAGAATCCTTTTCGTTTTTCCTTTCGTATTTAAATTTGGTATTCCCAGCGAGGTTTGAATAATATAAGCCGAAATTTGCACGAGAAAGCAAAACCCTGAAGGATTCTGGTGAATCTCAAAGCATTATTACAAAGTGCGATGGAACTACAGTAAAAACCCGCAACTAAGAACCTACATTTTCAGGAGTTAGCCTAAACAGGTTCTTATATAAATGGTACTTAACAGAATTTTAGGCTATTTAGGTTCTTAAAATGGGTTCTTAATCCTGGAGAAAAAACAATGCATAATGGTGTGCTGAACTACATATTGCTTAGTATGCTTTGTAAGTCTACATATCTTGCATTCATTTTTCTTTAAAAAACATTTTTACAACAATGGCAATCTGCTTTTTTTGCTTCAAATATGATTCTTGCATTGCAGCTGTAATGTACTAGCATGATTTTAGAAAAAAAGAACCTGTTTTATATTTCTTAGGCTAAATAGGTTCTTGTTTATAGGGGGTATAAATGACCAATTTTAGGCTAACAGGTTCTTAATTTTTAGGTTCTTAGTTGCGGGTTTTTACTGTAGTACAAATTGCGACAGCTTAGTTTATTACAAAGTGCGATGGAAAATTATTACAAATTGCGACAGCTTTTTAATTACAAAGTGCGACACAGTACAAATTGCGACAGTATTACAAAGTGCGATGAATTTATTACAAATTGCGACAGATATTACAAAGTGCAATGATTATTACAAATTGCGACAGTGCATCATCTCTGGCCCAAATTTGTAAGGAGCAAAGTTGTGCAAATCCATGCATTTTTTCGTCCAGTGATTAATCTGACAAAAGACTGAATCCCTACATTCCAAGACATAAATAAATGCATCCTCCACCTCTTTACTACATTGCTAAAACCGTTTTCTCTTAATTGTGTTAATGTGAACACTTTTTCCACGTCCGAATGAAACTACGACATAAAAGAAGATATTGACAAATGACAGCATATACCTACCGGAGTGTGATGTACCTAACTTGCACAACAACGGAAATCAATGAAAACAAAAATTTGCATACACATTCTAAGATAATTATGTGATTGACTCTAAAAACTGCAAACACTAAATTTGAAAACTTTTTGTCTGTTTAGTTTTTTTTAGCTTTTGTATTTATTCAGCCCATGCATGCTAGTCTCAGTCTTGGATGTGTTTTTAGTACTGAGAACTAAACATAACCGTAGGTTTTTCATTTAAGATGCTTATTCTTAACGTTTCTATAATTCTACAAATATTCTCTTTCAAATTAACTGTTGCCGAACACAGTAGCTGATGAATCTTTTATTTTATTTGCATCTGTTTTAGCGATAAGTAATTTGTGATTTCTAAGTAGTTTACAAAGATCGATGACGTTAGAGAGTTTTCACAATACTTTTAAAAGATTTGTATTTCAGTATTCCTTTTTTTTCCGATTTTGTTTAGCAAAGTTGGAAAAAATTGGAAAACAAATCAGTTGATCAAAACTGTAAAGTATTTTAGGTATCCCAGCTTGAATGTGTTGCGTAAAAACAAAGGTTTTTAATGCTAAAGCTTTAAAAGTCACAGTTTACAACAGGATTTGTTTCTACAAGGCCACTAAATACCTTACAACAAGGATTGCGTTCTCTTTTGCTTGGGTTTAGTAGGTTTTTTTTTTTTGGTTTGAAACTTTAGTTACACTGAATAAAGAAACAAAAGACTATATTATCCTACTGTTTAACCGTCGGCGGTAACAAATACGCCTACGTTGTTATACTATGTCACTTATCAAGTGCACGTTATGTAAAAGTCAGACTTAAGGTATAAAATGTAGATGCCAGACTTGATTCGTTTGATCTTTCAAAACTTGGTGAACTAAAGAACATGACAAAGAAACAGGGAATGATGTCGACAACAACAATATCAACAGCAATATCTCAGAATCTTCATCTCGTTCGATTTAACTATCGGTTACGTAATGCTCTTAAATCTTCTGGCCATTGCTCTAACTCTGCAATTTTTGACAAAGCTATGTTTCTATAACAACATTTTTTTTTTCTGATAGATTGTTTAGTTTCTACTCTGATCTTATCGTTAATCAACAAATCTCGTGGCCATTGCTCCAACTCTGCAATTTTTGACAAAGCTATGTTTCTATAACAACATTTTTTTTCTGATAGATTGTGTAGTTTCTACTCTGATCTTATCATTAATCAGCAAATCAGGCTTCCTCGGACTTAAGTCGTGGTCAATAATTTTTTTTCATGGTATATTTCATTTTACTTGATTTACTCATTTATAAAAGCAAATGACAATGATTTTTAGCAGCCATCAAATAGTGCCGGCATTGAACTCAAGTAACATCTTTTGGTTTAACCAGTAAAAGCAACACACAACAAAATGATGGCTTAATTAATGGCTCACAAAATATAGAACGCTTAATTATATGCTTGATTAGTTCTTGAACCCTTCGGCAAAGTAGTCTCTACAGGAGCTATTTTATGTAAACATCCCTTTAAACCGATCAAAACAGCCAAACGTTTCTTCGGTCGATTGATAAGCAAGATGGTGTTGAACTTTGTCTTTACTCTAAGTGTTGTATGGAGTTTTCTGCCATCTATGATCATGGTCAGAGCTGTGACTCGTGAGTACTATATAGCAGCAGTGATCAAAGACTGGAACTATGCACCCAGCGGACAAAACCAAATTAAGGGAGTTGCACTCCAAGATGACAGGTACGCTAAGAGTGTGCTTGCAGAAAGCAACTACTACAGCTACAACCTTTAGGGCTTCTCTGATTAGTTCAAAAGCTAACAGGCTACTCTTTAATGCTACTGCGCTTCCACATTTATCCTTTTACTAACACTCAATAAGCTCCCGCTTACTGTTAATTAAACTATACCGTAGTTTAATTTGCTGCTCTTCTACTCTCTTGTTTTCTGCCATCTTTTCAGCAGCATAATGATGCGATCATTGCTTCTAAAAACAGTGATACATCGGTTGATATAGTCCGATGATTAGGGATGTTCAGTGACGTTTTAAATCCTGTTTGCACACCAACTGAAAATATATTAACATATAAAAACTCACAACACTCGCCACTTTATAGTCATAAGTCATAAAAAAGAAGTAAAGTTTAGCGTTTTTTCAACTGAATTCTTCATGACATTATATGTCCAAATAACGCAAATTGCTTCAAATAATCGTTAAAGGTTCCTTAGTTTGGTTTACGATCTTGTGCTATACATAGACCTCTGGCGTTTTCAGCTACCTCATTTGTGGTTAATTAGCATTAAAAACATCACGAAATTAAAGATCCACGAATAAAAATCCTCTCGAAATTAAGTACTAATATAAAGTAGTCGATAGTCTGTAAAATAATGATTTTTGTTCCATGGTCTTAGGCACATATTGGGCTCAGTGTTTTCTAGAAACGCTGTCCACTTTTGACTGTTTAATTAATTTACTAAGTTCTTCGATAACGGCTAGTTGGTATGTAATATTGAAATAAAGAGCATTAAATTTGTTTTTTTGCTGAAGTTCATAATGTCCTCAAGCTAGAACCTCCTAAGAGATCTGCTAAATCATAATCATTTTGTTTATTTATTTTATTTATTTTGTTTGTTTCATAGCCAAGCACGACCTTTCACTCAGCGTGGCGTAAGCCGAGTGGCAACCCTGTACAAAAAGGTGCTGTATCGCGAGTTTACAGACGGTTCCTTTACTCAGGAAAAGCCCCATCCAGCACACCTCGGTGTTTTGGGTCCAGTAATCAAGGGCGAAGTGGGAGACGTCGTCAAGATACATTTCAAGAACAAGGCTAATAGGGCTTTCACGGTTCACTCCCATGGAATATTCTACGACAAAAGCGATGAAGGGGCCCTTTATGCAGATCACAGCAGTGATGATCAGAAAAGAGGCGATCTAGTGGAACCTAATAAAACTCATCTTTACACATGGATAGTAACCGAAGAACACGCTCCAACCGAAGGGGACGGCGACTGTGTCATAAGAATGTACCATTCTCACGTAATGTCCGTGAATGATATAAACACAGGCTTGATAGGTATTTCTAGTTGAATTAAGCTATACGTTTTCACAAAATTTTTAACAATCAGATGTCTGAAAAATACGTATTTATATGTAAAAAGCGACGCACAATAATACACTATCATTAATGAGGTATAGATCAGGGGCTCCCAACGACTATGTTCTGTAAAATATCTGTCCGGAGAAGCAAATATTGTCCAGAATTTTCTATTGCTTGAGGACGGCTTTAAATTTCCAGATAACCGTTCCATTCATGTCCAACGTTCGAAACCTATCTAAAAAACTCCCTACGATTTTCTGAGCCTAATTTTTCACATTTCACTCCCCTAGTAATGCTGTTTTTTCGTAGAAAAAGGAAATCTAAAATTTTCGGACTCAAAAACGTGGAAATCGTCGTTGGGTGCTCCTGATAGATACCCATATCCTGTCTGAGAAAGGCTCAACTCGAAGTGGTCCGTGAGAACGAATGGGACTGAGATCATTGCCCACCTCATCAGGAATATGGAGGGGGTGGGGGGAGCCACGCGCAGTTCTCGTTGGGATAAGATCTGTTAGTGTCCAGTCCCTTATTTACTGGCTTATAACAAATCTTCGAACCAATACCTGACTTCAAGGATAATACCCTTCCAAGAGTTATTTTTCCTGTCATAAATTAGCTCCGATTTCGCGGCAAAACTCGTCCATTGAGGCTAATAGTAGGCGCAGTGGCTAAACTGTTTTTGTCGAGGTGGAGGAAATTGTGGAAGAAACTCAACTGTTGCGCGAAAAAGAAATAACCGAACTACTACCTAAGACACAAAAAGAATTGCAAGAATCGCTTAATCTATTTGAAGAATGAATGCTATAATAAACATTCGTTAGTAACCTGAATCTGCCGATGTATAACTGAGCCCTCGATCTGTATAATCTCTCACATCATACTCAGCCTTGTCGAATAATTGTTTATTAGAAAATCGCTTGGTGTTTTTCCACAGGCCCACTACTGATCTGCAAACGAGGAGCTTTGATGCAAAATAGCGTAAAGAGAAAATACGTCGACAAAGAATTTTTTCTTCTCATCACCGAGATGGACGAGAACAAGAGCTGGCTCCTGGATGACAATATTCAAACCTATTTTGGTAATCCCGAACAGGCAATGGCAAATAAATTTGATCCGGGATTTAAGGCAAGTAACAAGATGGCATCCATTAATGGCTACATCTATGGCAACCTACCTGGGCTGGACATGTGTCACGGTGATACGGTCAGTTGGCACATAATAGGTGTTGGAGAGTTCAGTGATGTACACAATCGTAAGTATCCTGAGACACTGAGTCTTCTGTAATCCAGTACTTCCAAAAACTGAATTCTGGATTTTTTGTCGGTGGAGCTTGGATTCCGATTCCAATTCTGGATTGTGAATTCTTTGAGCTGCTTTCCGGATTCCAAAGACTAGGATTTAGCATTGCAAAAGCAAACATTTTCCGGATTCTGAATCCGGAAAATGTTCGCCCCTACTTGGGCAAATTTTAGGTCTTTCTTAGGCGTTATTCTCTAAGTAATTCATGTAAAATTATTTTCAACATCATGCAATTACTGTCCCTAACATATGTGAAAGTGTAAAACTCGTAATCTTCTGCAATATATCAGATTTTGCCAGACTATTTTGTCATAATTGTATTATGGTTTAACTGGCAACAGCATGTTAGGGACCTTTGAACATCAAGAACATAAAACTATAGAACTAAGATAGGTGTGTTCATTCAGAAGATGTAACTTTTTGAAATATTAACCCCCTGCGTCTTTGTCACTAAAAATAACTTGAAGTGATTATTTGGAGAATAAGTCCTAAACTTAGCCTGCATCTACTTTGATTACTAATTAAACGGTAAAAAAAAGGGTCAGATCAGTATCACCTCAGTTTCTGTTTATACCATCTTGTTGGCGACAGCAAAACCTCCACAGCTATCGCTGCTGCAACAGACATGTAGCATTTATTGCCTTCGCAGAGTCATTGATGAGAAGGCAAAAAACCCGAGGGGCAACCTTATCTCCAGGGCTTTTCCCATAGAAAAATAATGGGGGCCCCCCTCCATGCAATTTTCTAAGGCAGGAAGTTGCCGAAAAGGATATCAATCCAAACGGTCTTTATACATTGAATAGCCAGCAGTGGGATTGAGACCTCCCAACATTGCTTTGAGACATTGAGAAAAGAAGAGATTCAAATCGTGTTAACTCTGTCTAATTAACATTTCTGCTGGTCTGTAATGTCGAAGCCTTTTGTACAGCATTTTAAACTTTGTCCCTTCGTATTCCACATTGCTGTTATCTTGTGCTATAAAATGTGCCCAATCATTGTTGTTATAATGTTGTGACTCTTTCGCTCCTCATTGGTCCAAATGTTGAGACAATATTGACATCATTTTAAAAAGGTTTTAAACCTTAAGACCCTAGATCCGATTCTAAGGTAACAAGAATTGTTGATTCCTTTCTTACCGTATAATCTGAAAAATAAACTCTGTTTACTCTATTAAAAGCTTCGTTCCATGGGCACACAGTCAAGATCAACTCCCATCGCCGAGACACAGCTATAGTGCTTCCAGCCACTTTCTTGACAGCCTACATGAAGGCGTGGAATCCAGGAACTTGGTTACTGAATTGCATGAACAGCCACTTCTTTGATAAAGGAATGTCGGCGCTCTTTTATGTCAAGAAGTGCGAGAAGAATGTTGCCATGCCAACCGTCAGTGGTAATAGAACGAAAATGTACTACATAGCCGCGGATGAGGTTATGTGGGATTATGGACCATCTGGTGTTAATAAAATAGACGGAAAATCGCTTACTTCACCTGGAAGGTAACAACTTGAAAAATAAAGCCTTTTTATAGAAAGAAAGATTGAATATTCATTACCTAGGTGAAACCTCAAACAAATCTACTAGTTAATATGGGGCGATTTCGATTTAACAAAAATTTCGGAAATTCCACTTGCCCAGCGGACCCGATCGACCCAAGCCACCGCGCGTTTAATTATTGTTTTCTTGTACATGTAAGCCGGATACAGTAGAGCAGTACTAGGGACAACAATTTTGTCAAATAGAAAGGAACATTTCGGTCCGACCGGACCGGTGAAAGTGAACCATCTCTTCTAGATGCGTGGTTCCCGATATTCAGGTCAGACCCAGCCGGAATGGTCCGTTCCAATTGATTTTCCCGGAATTTTGGGCTGAATGGAGAGCGTCCATAGTTTGCCGAGAATGGCATGAAACACTCACTCACTTGGAACAGCAGGATTTCTCAGATTGACGATTGCTTGCTTTGCAGTGATTCTGCTAAATACTTCACCCGTGCTGATAACAGAATTGGAGGAAGATACAAAAAAGCTATCTTTGTCGAATACACAGACAGTAATTTCACTACTAAAGTAAATCGAACAGCCAGTGAAGAGCATTTGGGATTCCTAGGGCCTACCATTCGAGCGGAGGTTGGCGATGAAATCCAGGTGCTCTTTAAAAATCAGGTAAGCAACTTTGTAATGAAAGTTAAAACTGTCGTTTCAAAAGAAAATATGGCGTCTCCGTATAGAAGTAGTATAGGGTGAACCGAAATATCCGTTTTTGTTTTGTTTTCTAGCTGAGAGATTAAGTCGTTTCGACAACAAACACAAAAATAATCAGAACTTTAATTTCTCATTTTGTCAGCAATAAAATGTTCTAATCTCAAGCATTTTAAGGCATGGCCGGTCCTTTGCTCTTAGACACTCGGCGAAGACAGCTACTCTTGCTAGAAAACGCGCTGTTCTTTTGATCGTAACCACCGCTAAGTCAGCAGAAAAATTTTTGTCGTCCTTAAACCTTCTGAAGGTTAATAACAGAGGTCACATGTCCGATGACGTCATAAATAAGGAAAAAGTGATATCTGAAACTGGCAATGACTTGTTGGAGAAGCTAAATTCACAAGCACGCTGCATTTAAGGTATAGATGCATAGATAGAATCTGTGCCCCGAATGGAGAAAAATCTTATTTCATGAAAGAGTAATTCGATTATTAAAGAGGTCACGTGGCCTATTTTTTGAAAATTACTCTTAAACGGCAAAATGAATTCGGTCATTCAAGACAGATTCTTTAAGGGGGTAACCATGGAAATATGTTCGCGTTTCAACATTTACCCGTTATATGTCATCTCGGCGGCCCATTTTCGCTTTTCACGTAAGAAAACTGTTACAGATGTCCACATGACGCAAAAAGTCAGAACTTAAAGTAAACAATAATTTAACGACATTACGGTTTATGTTATTACCAAGTTTTATGCTGTTAAGGTATATCTTGTTATGCAAATTAGGTTCTGGGTGATGCCTTAACATGCTTAAGATCAATTCCATCATCTTATAAGGTCATTGCTCCCGTCGACCTTCTCTCTCCTTCTCCCCCCCTCCCCCCCCCCCCTCTCTCTCTCCTTCTCTCTCTCCCTCTCTTTAACAGGGGAGTCGCAATTACAGTATGCATCCACTTGGTGTCTTCTACGATAAAGCAAACGAAGGATCTGGCTACAATGGCACATCCGGGAATGATACTACAGCTGGTTATGCTGTTATGCCCAATCAAACATTCCTCTATAGATGGACTGTACCAGAGGCTGTAGCCCCAACGGACGAAGATCCTCCATGTATCACATGGATGTATTATTCCAGTGTTGACTCAACTAAAGACGTACATAGTGGTAGGTAGAATGGTTTGGGATATAGAGGGATTACAACTTATAATCCATGTCTGATTTCCTCAAAGACGAACAGAGCATTGAATTTTTCATTCTTTTAGTTTAAATTTGTCAAATTCGGTAAATTTATTTCAATAATTTTATAATTTCCCACGTATTTTTGATGTTAGCTTCCTTTCACATTCTACATTTATTAATATGTAACTGTCACTGATTAAAACGGGAGGTAGCTGGTGTTTTACCGTAGATAAGAAATAATCGACCAATAACTTACACTTCGAAAAGCAAAAAGCACGCATAATAACCTGGTATAAAAAAGGTTTTTTCCTCACTGTGTGGAAGGCAAAGCAATTCATTTCAATCGGGGAGTCAATCTTCCTTTCTGAGTTCTTTGGAACTACTAAGCAATATATGCTAGTCGTATAAAATGTTCATCAATAGAATATCAAATTAAATTCGTTTCCTCTTTCGTGCATTCATTCAGTTAAGCTTTGTTTGGTTGTCTGTTTTTGTTTGTTATGTTTTTAATGTTTAATATTTTTCATGTTATTCATTTGTAAACCCGAAACTCGAGGATTCAACTTCTGCTCAATACTCGTAAACTGTGTGTGTGTTTGCTAAGTTAGACGTTTAGTCAAATTAAAATTGGACAAAAACAAGCATTCTCAACTATAAACTGCATCAACAGCCATGTTAATGATCATAATTTTACCTCTCTTAAAGGGCTCATCGGATGTCTGATTGTGTGTAAAAAAGGAACGCTGGAGGAAAATAGGCCATGGAAAAGGAAGGACGTCGATCACGAGTTTTGCTTGCGCTTTGCTTTAACCGACGAAGGACTTTCTTGGTATTTCAATGAAAATAAGAACCTTGCGGGGAACGCTTCTACGATAGACGCTAGTAAGTGCGTCGTTTTCAGTCAAAGTATAAACCGTACAATTATCTATTGAGTTCGAGATACCTAATCCACTAAAAATTGGGTTCAGTTAATCTATCGACTTAGCCAACGCTAAAGGCGAAGCTCCCGTTAATAAATTTACAATTTACTTCAAACAATAAACTTGTAACCATTAAAAACAAATCCACTTGGCGATCAGTTGAAAACTAGAAACTTGCCTGCGGAGAACTTCAAATAACCTCGATGGGTCGACACTTGGGCCTACTGGTCAGCGGATACTCAGCTTTGACAGCTGTCAATTGACCTCAACATAAATGCACAATATCACGTTGCAGGCTCTCGCACTAGCTTGAAAGTGTGACCTTAGACCTTAGTTTCCCTGTGGCCAACACGGAAGGAAGGATGGGCGGAAGTACGGTCACGCGAATAATGGATCAGATAACCAAAGTTTCTTAGCCATGGGGCTAAGTTTGTGCGTGCAGGATATTACTGTTTGAGGTCAATTATGTGCTATAGTCATTACTAAGAGCCTTTACCCATATAACACAAAATGATCCCGTAGAGTTATGAAGAATTCGAAGGTGTGACTATCAAACAAATTTCATCAGGGAACAATGATCATAAGAATTTGTTTGGTGATTTTGGTAGGAATAACATTATTACAAGTTGGAAAAGTTGGCCCGACATTTTCAACCCATTTCCATCTTTGCCTTCAAAGATGGAAATAGGACAGTTTCAAAGCCTGGATATAGTCTTAAATAACAAAACTGGGCTACTATTTTTGGAAATCATTTGATGCGAAGACAGGTCAGTTATTTTTTTTTCAAAAGTGAGGGCAAATAGCCCTTTAAGTATCACAATTTACAGTATCCATTCCCAGTGCAATAAACGTTGCTTTTCTTAATTTTTCTTGACTCTTTAAGATGACGCGGGATTCAAGGAAAGCAACAAAATGCGGAATATCAACGGCTTCATGTATGGAAATTTACCTGGTTTGCGCATGAGCAAAGGTGATGACGTTTCGTGGCATTTCTTGGGTGGTCCTGCGGGGCAGATGCACAGCGCTTACTTTTATGGCAACACTCTGATAAGGAATGGAAATAACTATGACACAGTGGGACTAATGGAAGGTATAGTTTTTGTACTTTATTTGTGCATAGTTCTTTACTTCTTGTATTACTTCAGCTATTCCCTTTTTTAACCAAATAGCCTCTTTTCCAGGCAAATATACCATCGATCAACGTTGTTTCCAATGAAATATACCATTGAATCGATGTTGCATTGTTTGCATTATCCGAATTCAATCAACACTGCCTGGTTAGGAAGAATTTGCCGGGGGATTGGGTTAATCAGGAACGGCGAAATATTTTTAAACGAATAACAGTACAAATGTGACGTGCACATAGAGTACGAAATAAAATGGCCATTATTTTTATTTTTATTTCTTTTATTTTTGAAGCAACGGATTAAAAACTCATAAAACAATGACGGTGGACATTCTGTTCTTGCACCGAAATCGATATCACGGTTTGAGAAGAAGTCTGAGTACTTGACCTTTTACTTCCTAAAGTCAATTATCTTCCCTGGGCTGAAAGCCATCTATGGACCCAAGAGAAACGCTGTCGCCCCCAGTGAAGTGAGCAGATGGTAGTAAGTTGCTCACAGACCTCCAAGACATAAGGGCCAGATGGAAGGAGTACTTCAATAACTTGCTGAATCATGAAGAATCTGCACATCCAGATGCTTGTCAGCAGATGAAGAGGAAGCCCACATGGAATGAGCTGTGCGGAGAAATAACTATGGAGGAACTAAGAAAGCTTTGAAGTCAACAGCATCTGGCAAAGCACCTGGTTTGGATGGTATTTCCTCAGATATCTTATAGAAATGGTGGCGAAAAGATGTGCGAAGTTCTACTAGACCTGTTCAACAGATGCCTATCTATGCTCCAATTGTCACCATCTACAAGAGAAACAGCGACCGTGCAGAGTTCGGAAGCCATCGAGGAATATCACTACTGGCCATACCCGGCAAAGTCCTTGCCAAGATTGTTATGAACAGACTGAAGTTCATTTCGGAAGAAGTTCTCCCGGAGAGTCAGTGTGGATTCCGGGTTGGCAGTTCCACCTCTGACATGATCTTCACTCTGCACCAGCTCCGAGAGAAGGCAGCAGAGCAACATCAGCCATTATATGTTGCCTTTGTTGACTTCACAAAGGTATTTGACACCGTTGACCGCACAACCCTCTGGAAGATCCTTGAAACCTATGGATGCCCTGATAAGCTTGTAAACATCATCAAGCAATTCCATCAGGAAATGAAGGCACAAGTCTAAGTCGGCGGCGAACCCAGTGATGCCTTTGTAGTCAACCATGGCGTGAAGCAGGGGTGCGTGCTACCTCCAACTCTTTTTCCCCTCTACTTCACAGCTGTGCTGGAGACTACGAACGAAGGGCTCAATAGGGGCGTTTTCATTCGCATAAGGACAGATGGCAAACTGCTCAACCTTGCCCGGCTTCGTGCCCACACGAAAACACTAAAGATGTGTATCAGAGAACTGCTTTATGCTGATGACTCAGCCCTTGTGGCCAACAACGCAGACCCGGAAGTGGAAAGGGGGATCCAATCCGCCACGAGGGCCTAAGGAGCGCTACAAAAGAGACTCTGGAGCTGTAATGACATCAGCACAAAAACCAATGTGAAGGTTTACTCAGTTGCAGTCATCCCTTGTCTGCTCTATTCCATCGAGTGCACCACTCTTCACCGCAGGCACATTGTGGCTCTGACAAGTCTCCAGCTTCGCCACCTACGCTGTCCGACATCCTCAACATCAAGTGGCAAGACCGTATCCCAGGCGTTGAGGTACTGCGCCGTGCTCACACAGTCAGTGTTGAAGCCCTAATAACCGTGTCACAGCTTCGCTGGGCAGGACATGTACGTCAGATGGCCAATAGCAGGCTGCCAAAAGCTGTGTTCTACTCGCAACTACGCCAAGGTAAAAGGAGCCATGAAGGACAAAAATTACGTTTCAAAGATTTATTGAAGCGACATATGAAGGAAACAGGCATCTCGCGTGATACCTGGGAGAAGGATGCAGTCTAGAGAGTCAAATGGCGAGGACTGTTGAGGAAGGCCACGTCAGCACGTCAGCTGTTGAGGAAGATCAGCATCAGCGCCAGAAGGAATATCAGCGTGCACATGTCCGATGACACTAGGCAGCTACCTCAAGCAGTTTCCAGTGCAACAATTGTCAGCGTTACTGCAGATCCCGAGCGGGTTTGACTGCTCACGCGAGAACCTGTTTAAGATAGGCCTCAACTCAATTACAAGACAGTCATCTCAGGTAACGAGGGAAAGCCATTATCTTCCCTGGCATTTCAAAGAAATTTAAAAAGCGGCTTAAACGTTCATTGTGTCATGACTAGTTAATTGTTAGTTGTAGCATTTACTTTTTGCTTTTTACATTAACTTACCAAGAATTTAACTTTATTTATTACAGGTTCCTTAGCAACAATGCACATGACCCCAGATAACCCTGGAGAGTGGAAATTAGCTGATCGGACTAATAGTAACTTAGAAGGAGGAACTACTGCCAAGTACACGGTATTGAAGGATTGTGGGAATGCTTCTTCTGACCAACCAATGAGTGGTCGGAAGAGATGGTATTACATTGCAGCCGTGGAAGAAACGTGGAACTACGCGCCAACTGGAAAGGATTTAATCGAAGGAGTCGAGCTTAAGGATAGCCCGTAGGTTTTTTTAGCAATTTAAACTAATACCAGGCTAATAAAATTGCGTGTGAGCCGCTACTTTCATCAAGTTAAGATTGATATGAATACAACTTCTTTAGGAAAGACGTGTTTCTTTCAACCACTAAATGGAATCTGTGTAAGTAGATGATCTCAGCCTGTATATTCCACAGAAACAAGCGGAAGAGCGGATTTGGGGGACTAACTATAGAGGCCTGAGCTTAAGTAAATAACAGGAGGGCGAAGTTCACTCAATTGCGTCCTTTAATTTATTCTTGCTCGTCAAAAGTGAGAAACCAAATTTGGCTTAAACAAAGTCTACGAGTGCACAGCTACCGTCGCAGGATTAAGATCAACTTTCGCGGCTTACAAGGAGTGGATATGATGAGCAGTATAAAAGTTTATTGGTTCAGTTACGCTGTAATTAATCAGAATGATATGCTTTAGTACGGGTATTTCCTTCAAGTTGGCGGCAAATCTTTGAATAAAAGCTTGAAAGAATGAAATTTCTTCGGATATAAATTTGTCACGATTGCGTTTTCATCGAAGGATATCGAACTAGGACTAAAAGGTGCTATGGAAAGCTTTCCTTCCTTTAATCTGCAATAGGTAGCTGGTTGAGAATTGCTTGTTTGAGTCAAAAGACTACACATAGTTTTAAGTACGGAACCAAGCTTTCCGCGGCGTAGGTCAAATAACACTGATCTATTTGGTACCAGATTGTAAATGTGCCATGATTAAGTAAACACTCCGCTTAGCTATGAAGCTGTATGACTGGTCGGCTCTACGTATTATGCACTTAAACTTTATTTTAGTAAATACTTTCTTATATATATATATCTTTCACCAGTTAAATAAAGACTTGTTAGTTCTTCCAGCATGTTCCAAAATTAATTCCACCCGACTATAAAAAACGTCTTTCCGCAGACATGCTGCTCGTTACACACTACCAGGTGATCGTTTTCTTGGTGGGATACTCAAGAAGGCAATTTATCGGGAATACACAGATGCTACCTTCACTCAGCAGAAGCAAAGAAACAAAGAAGAGGAGCACTTGGGAATCATGGGACCAATGATCAAAGCTGAAGTGGGTGACACCATTGAAGTTATCTTTAAGAACTTGGCGTCCAGAGAATATTCCATTCATCCTCATGGACTCTTTTACAGGTAAAACCGAGCGTTCCTATGAACGAGTCACAGCAATTTAAAATAGGAGGAATGAAATCACAGGGACCACACAATCTGTTTGTGTAACCGATTGTAATGTCATAAGTAAACTAAATTAACCGTTAATTCGCTTAATATGTGCATGGATCAATGCTAAATAAACGTTTTATAACCTTACCTACGGCCAGTATGCCTAAAAAGAGGCATTTTGAATGATTTTCAAGAATTTGAGTTCGCCGTTTGCTGTTCCTCTTAATAGCAGGACGAACTCAAAATCCTTCAAAATCGCTAAAAAAAATCCACTTCTGAGGCAAAAAGGCGACAATAATCCCACACCAAACACTACCTTAAGTTTGTTTAAGCTGCAGATAATCGTTAAATACTGATTGTTGCGAGGAAAATTTGTTACTTTTCCACTCCTTAACAACTCAAACAATTGCAACAGGGTAAAGGAGGACGTATTTGTTACGGAGGACGAGCAAAGAGAAAAGAGAGAGGCGGGGGACCGACCGCTTGAGAAAAGAAAGGGCTAGGCTTAAACATTAGAGGGCAATTATTAAAGAAATTTCTGCATTTTTTGTTTCAATTCTTTAGCAAACAAGACGAAGGGTCTCCTTATAAGGATAACACCACTGGCGCTGATTTAGTTGACAACGCAATCGCTCCAGGAAAGATTCACAACTACGTCTGGGAAGTAACTGCAAGGGCTGGGCCTGGACCTAATGACACTGATTGTTTGACATGGGGGTACTATTCAGATGTTAACCCAGTTAAAGACACCAACACTGGACTGGTAGGCGCGCTGGTCATCTGCAGAAAGGTAACTGTTATTAGCAGGTATTAGCTGAGGCTGACCACCTCGTCGACCTGCATAGTTTTTCATATCACATAAATCTTATGCATTCAAAATATTTCCAACTTCAAAGCATGCTCGCCTCGATGTAAAGTTAAGTTCTCGAACATTTGCCTGTCATGTTCCGAATGGTATTTGTGTTTATTCTTGCTATGTTTTGAGGCACTATTTTGGCAATTCAGTTTCATAGGAATCTTCTTCCATTTTCTCTACATCACCAAAACAGTCACGCAACCGGGCTATGTCGCTTTTTCTATCGATTATCATTACAGTTGATGTCACAGTATTGCCAAATTGGCACATTTCTTCCAAAGCCAGTCATGAAGTATTGGGGCATTTAAGACGGCTCGATGGGGTCTTTCAGGGTCAATACCTACCAATAGACCTTTTTACCGATACGGCGGCTATATTGAATTTATTAGATTTAAGGAGTATAATGGTATGCCCAGGGGCACTCGCGGGCAAAACGAGAACTTCATTGTATATGTCTCGGGAAAAAGGCGAGCATTATTACATCCAAACACGGCACGACGATCTTTTTTTCCCAATACAATCTTTTTATAGGAAAACTTAAAGAAAATTGGCCCGAAAAGAGCGCTTAATTACTGAGCGAGTATATCGGATCCTGCTCATGCCCGAAGCAAAAACCTCGCAGATTACTTTTGACGTGTGTTTGATTGGGCAGGGAGGTCAAAACTAAAAATAACCTTTTTTTTTCAAGGGAACTCTAGACGATCATGGAAAAGTGAAGGGTGTTGACAGGGAGTTTGCAACATTGTTTACCGTATTTGATGAGAGCCGCAACTGGTACGTGGGAGAAAACGTTGAAAATTATCTCACGGACAAGAATCCACCTCCGCTTAACCAACTTGTTAGCATCTTTGACTTCTGGGAGAGCAACTTGAAGGCTACCATTAATGGCTATGTGTTTGGAAATGTCCCGGGTTTTACCATGTACAAAGGCGAGAAAGTTGTGTGGTATCTCCTACAAGTTGGTGGTATGACAGAAATGCACACGGTTCATTTCCACGGCCAAACTATCTTATATGTAAGTACTTGTTCTTAGCCGATCAGATGGCTGCGCGTCTCAGTATTTTACAATTCTTTTATTAAGTACAAAATGATTGGTGACGACTTGAAAATCGGAAGTTTGATAAGCAGCCTTTTTCCTGAACATTTTGTGACAGTGGCGCACAAAGTTTGGACGAATTTGCCTTTTTTGGAAGCTTTTAATTCCGCCACGCACTCTGCGCTCTGGTAAATTTGTTACCATAAGACTCTCAGTAACACTCTGATAGGAGGTAAGCATACAGTTTAATAGTTTTGATACATCGACAACAATTTTCCATGGTCTGTACTCTTAACGACCACATCCACCTGTTCAAAACTCAAGTGGAACCACGAACCGGGGGCCGAGTGATTTCACTTCAATGTGTTGATCATTTTGACGTCGTTTCTATTGTTGCCGATTTATTTTTTTTACAATAACATTGAAAGTTTCGACGTCCATTTCCGTTGAAGTTTCTCAAAAAATTAAGCGCACGAAAAAGCGAAAAACAAACTGCGCCACCATCATATCACTTCCATGGCTGTACTTATCGAACTATTCATCTAGCAAGAAATCACTCAGTTATTGTAAAACTAAGTAAACTGCCTTCGGCTGTCCTAGGGGTCAATTATTATTTTTCCAGTTTCCATGGCTACCAGATGCAGTCACCTGTACAAAAATTCCAAAAGGGGTCTAAACCATCGCCTTGTAAAATGGCATGCTGAAGTAATTCAATCTGCTCTCCAGGATGAGTGCATTCCTAAATGATGCACGATTTGCCGTTTTTTAATCATCCTCTTGCGTCATCTTCCAACAAAATAGTGCTATAAACTGAAATAATCGCTCACAGATCTCTTTCCCACTAAAAATCTTTTAAGAGAGTATCAACCATCACTAAGTTATGCACCTTTAATTAACGTAAGTCGCTACATTTGGATTCGTTGCCACACATCTTTTCATTGGTGTGATTGGACATTTTGTAATGATCTTGCGTCATCTATAACTTTTAAGTCGTCGGCAATTGTGTGCGGACTATTGACTCGTATTCTTCAACACTTTTCAGAAATCGCAGACCTATCATCGTAACGATGTCTACGATTTGCTGCCAGAATCCTTTGCGACCGTTGAGATGATACCTGATGCAGTTGGAACCTGGATGCTTCACTGTCACGTGAACGTTCACTTGGATGGTGGGATGAAAACTCTGTTCACAGTTTTGGCTCCAACAAGTGAGTTTGTAAAGCAAACCATTGCAATGCTTTGAGAAAATCTCTTAACCCTTTCACATTTCAACCGCCTGTTTAGCCAGACGTCGTCTCCTCTACCACTATATAATGACATAATCAGTTTTATTGTGCAAAGATTACTTAACCTGTGCAGGATGAAAACAAGAGAACGGAAGGGGGTTTCCTCTACCTTCGCTTGTTCGAACCCTTCCCGTATTATATTTGCGTGATTTGGTCAAACAGCTAGGTCTAAGGTGTTGATTTTAAATAGTGTTCCACTACCAAAATGTTACCTGGAAGTAATTTACAGGACCATCGTCGAAAGTTTGTTTCTCTATAGGAATGAAGGCTATCATAAAAGAATAAAAGTCAAGTCACGTTCCAGTGTCACTCTTGGTTAATCTCGTTCGAAGAGCCTGGTCAGCAACGTCACCTGAGATCGATTGGCTTTGAAATTTTGCCTCCTGTGCATGCCGAACTTGTTGCTCTGGTTTAAGGATTTCTGCCTTTTCGTTTCCACTAAAAGTGATCAGAAGACATGCAGCTTCACGGGTTGGCTATTTCTTTGGGACAATCTTAACTTTAGGAGCAACTGGGTTCAAGAACTTAACTTGGGAAACTTATGAGTTAGCGACATGCAAGAGAGAATACTACATAAGACAAAGCACTGATCTAAGAGACTGGATAGCCTAATACAAGAACACAGTAAACTTGCCCTCCTTTTTTCCAAATAAAATGCAACAAGAGGGGTTTTAGTTTTTTTGAGGAAACAGAGTTGCCTAGAAAGAAATGGCTCTTTCTTACCGTCTAAAATGCGCGTTCCCTGACCAAACAACCTTGCACGCTGTATATATCACGTACAGTACAATAACTAATGTGTCAAACGGTTTCATTTTCTTTCAGGCAAACCTTCTCTCCAGCCTCCAGTTGTACCCAAAGCTGGGTGTTCGTCGCTTCAAGCCTTTTTTACAGTTCTGTTCGTTTCTTTTTTGACTATATTAATGATATAAGCAGTTACCTATGACGCACGGAATCTGCACTCGGTGTTTTTTTTTTCTGCAGTCATCATATGATGCTTAAACACACCGTAGCGGCAATACTTAGTTAAAACACTTGCTTTTTATATATATTTTTTCAAGCCAGGGTGTTTAGTGTCGTAAGTTGTCGAGAAGTCCACTTTTGATTTATTCTTTAGTCGTTTCCTCATATTCTTGGATAATGAAGTATTTACTCAAACTATAAATAACTTTGACTCTACCGGAAGGCCTGAACTTTCTATCAGCTCTAACAAACTTCGCAGAAAACGTAGTACGACAAAATTGGCTGCTTTCTATTTTCTTTACCCAGTCCACGGTTCAAGAGCCAGACAAAAAGATCTCGAAGACTACTTCCTCAGATATTGACACAAAATCTATGAGACTTTATATGTTCACACAGCCCTCGACAAAGTTTCGACCAGCTGCATATTTGACCGGGCACTTCGCTCAGCAACACACGGAACCGTTCAATATTTTAACTCTATTCACACAGAACTCTTGAACCAGGTTAAATTTGAGTTTTTCCGGTGTTTTTACGATCGGCTCATATTCATATACACGTTAATTTAAGCAAATCCAAAATGGAGTCTGCTAGGTGAGTTACTACAACTCCATGCAATAAGGCCTTTACAAAATTTAGACGGCTATATAATGTACATACCGTGCCGGTCATATTTTCGACCATACCTCGATTTTGGTGTTCAATATTTTGAGCGGCTAAGCGTCTAAATTTTCGTACAGTTAAGATAGTTCCTGTGAATAGAACACCAAAGCGCACAATGCAAATTTTCTTTCGATGCCGTATGAACTACGTATACTACGTTTTATCTTATAATTTAGTTAGTCTTAAGTTAGTTGTGCATTTTTTCACATCGGCCAAACCAGACACTTCTCAAAAAAAAAATTTTCTCAGTGATCCAAATTTGCTGGTCTCTGTAAGTTCAATAGGCCCGCCGTTTGATGTTCTCCTACACGGCCGCGAGTTGCAGTAACCAGAATATCAGATGTTCTGAGGTCTCTCTCTTGACTCCCCTTGCACAGTTGAGCAAGCAAACGGTAATGCCCTTATGTTTTGGTGTAAAAAGTCGAAGTTAAGTCCTGGCAAAAAAAACCTCGAGATCCAGTGAGGAGATGTCAGAATCTGTGTTCACTTGCTTAAAGTTTTACCGATCACGTTTCAGAATAGTATAGTTTGATATTATTATTAGATAAATAGGGACGGTTGTACTGCATGGCTTTATTTGNCACGTTAATTTAAGCAAATCCAAAATGGAGTCTGCTAGGTGAGTTACTACAACTCCATGCAATAAGGCCTTTACAAAATTTAGACGGCTATATAATGTACATACCGTGCCGGTCATATTTTCGACCATACCTCGATTTTGGTGTTCAATATTTTGAGCGGCTAAGCGTCTAAATTTTCGTACAGTTAAGATAGTTCCTGTGAATAGAACACCAAAGCGCACAATGCAAATTTTCTTTCGATGCCGTATGAACTACGTATACTACGTTTTATCTTATAATTTAGTTAGTCTTAAGTTAGTTGTGCATTTTTTCACATCGGCCAAACCAGACACTTCTCAAAAAAAAAATTTTCTCAGTGATCCAAATTTGCTGGTCTCTGTAAGTTCAATAGGCCCGCCGTTTGATGTTCTCCTACACGGCCGCGAGTTGCAGTAACCAGAATATCAGATGTTCTGAGGTCTCTCTCTTGACTCCCCTTGCACAGTTGAGCAAGCAAACGGTAATGCCCTTATGTTTTGGTGTAAAAAGTCGAAGTTAAGTCCTGGCAAAAAAAACCTCGAGATCCAGTGAGGAGATGTCAGAATCTGTGTTCACTTGCTTAAAGTTTTACCGATCACGTTTCAGAATAGTATAGTTTGATATTATTATTAGATAAATAGGGACGGTTGTACTGCATGGCTTTATTTGTCTTAATAGTTAACATGATGTTTTAGGAGAATTTCGACGTTGGGTCATTTATAAGGACACTTTTGATAAAAACAAAAATAAGCGTTTTTGAAACAGACCTTATGCGAAGTGATACCAATCGTCTGCAATTACACATTCCAACTCTTTCCGATAAGACACTAACGCGTTAGCCTATCACGCTGTTATTTAATACGCAATGTAAAGTTCACCCTTGGTTTATATTAAAAATACTGTTGTATTCACCTTAAATTTTGCTTTGTCTACTACTGACCTCTAAACTCACTCTTTTGAGTAGTAAGATGTTTAGTACGAGATGGATCTAAAAAGGAACGAAGTTTAGACACCACTGAAAAAAGCTCCTTAATTGTCTGCCCTTTTGAAAGCCAACTGCTGGTTTTGAAATGACCCCATCAAAGTTATCGATCCTTCTGAGTTTTTACTTTCATAAAATATTTGAGCAGCGGCGGAGAAAGCAGTTGTGTCTTAAAAAAATGACTTATTTTGAGGGGATTTTACTACATGAACAGTCATTGTATATAGATGATTAAAAGTATTATCTCAGTGTCTATAAGTTCCTCGAAAAATGAAATCACTCTTTCATAGCACAACTAAGCGGTGACAGAAATTTCTGTTGGTTTCCGGTCGCCTTGTCGGTGCCCATCCAGATGGGCAACAACATGGCGTCTCCAAAGAAGTTCTAAAAAGCGTTTTCACTCACGTGGCTAACAGCTATGAAAATTTATTGGAACAAAAGAAAGTTTTTGCATGAGAAAAGAGTTTAACTTCCACAGAACTGGTTTGGGACACCAACATGGCCGCCGTTTCATTGTTTTGGGACACCAAAATGGCCGCCGTGACGTCGTGTGAAAACGCTCTATAAATTTGGGTAAATCATTACTCTGATTATTATGCATTGTACTCACTATCTGTTTGCTCATTGGCTAAAAGCCTACAGTATGATCAGCCTACGGTTAGATCAGCCTCGGCCTTCGGCTCGGCTGATAACACTTTCCCCGACCTTGATTATTCCGGATATCACAAAAACCTCATCCAATATTTTTTTATTATCTCGCGTATGAAAAATTGAAATAAAATGAATGTTCCCAAGGGTTTGCGGGTATTAACCTCTGATCATTTTCGAGATTTTGGATTTTATTCTTTGAGCAATTTTGATTTTCATTTTTGATGGCGTGAAAGTGAAAACCGGCAATTTTCTTCCCCTTTTTTATTATCATGGTATGTGAACACGAGCAACCCGAGGAATTAAGAAATTCTATTAATTTATTTTATAACAAACTAAAATTATTACAATCAATCTACTGAGAGTGATATTGGTTGAGGTCATACTAGAGACTTTACTATGGTAAAAAGGGCTTTACTATGGTAAGTCTCGTAACGTCTTCTTTACCGTAGTAAACCTGACAGGTCCACTTAAAAAGGCATTTGAAACTTTCCAGGCGTTTTTTTCTCGCGTGATCGGTAACGTGAGAGTGAAAAGTAAAGCAAATGATGACATGCTATGAGAGCTGACTAAATTGAAATTACTGAACTGTAACTTTCTGAGTGTTACTCTCACAAGTGTACAAAGATGGTTCAATGTGAGAGAGTATTGTTTTCTGTTATGAGCATTTTGCTTTTAATTCTGCTGTTCAGACGAGCAAGAAGAATGCGCTCCCTTATTACCTACCTTGGTTTCGAATACGAAGTTAGTGAAGATGTTTTAGTGACAGGTTCATTGATTACCCATCGAAGACGTACTCTTAGAGAAAGAGCGGCATTGCGAAGGCAAGCATGGGTTTACCCTCAACCCCAAGAATTGTTTGAAGAAATGTACAGAAACAGAAACCTTGAAGCACTGTGGAAAAAGCAATCACCGATGTTCTAAAGCTATTCTGTCATGTGACCGTTTTTGAAACTACTTTCCTCAAAAATCATGACAAAATGTCAACAAAACAAACAAAGTTTAGATAGACTAGAGATATACCCACCTATTTTTTTTGGTAACTAGATGGTTATCGGTGATGGGTCATCTTTGTTCTTTCCGCGGTAGTCATGGAAATTAACCAGGG